CAACAACTGGTTCATGATCCCGATCAATCTCAATCTGGACCCTGTCACAGACAACGCAAAAGCGCGATGCAATCTTACAATCGATTATCAGTTCACGGCAGTGGCGGACAATCCTATTGCGCTCCCCTCCGACGCCACCACGTCAGTCAAAGTGAACCTTCTGTCCCTCGATCAGTATATGTACACGCTGTCGAAAGGCATCAGCTGGAGTGTCGTCTGAGTTATACTGTAATTATCACATCAGAACTAATTATCACAAAGAGCTAATTATGCTAACATAATTACATTTGAAGTGTGAGAAGTTTTTGTTATAGTATATAATTATGGTAGCATAATTAAAGCAACATTGAAGGTGGTGATCTGAAAACGAGCAGCCGCCGTTATCACAGGGAGACCTCGCGACGACAAACCGCTAATATGGCGGGTTTTCTCCCCTCCTACGCATGTTAGGCCTGGGGAGCCGGTGTGTCACCGTCGGAGCTGCGAAAAGCGTTGAGCGTCCCTATCAAGTCACAAGTGCTCATGCAGCGTGGAGGCTTTCCAGGCGCTGGCAGGTTGAGCCTGCTCCCATGCTGTTGGGAGAGGGGCGGGAAACCGGATCGCCAACAAATGAAGACGCCCCCCCTGATCGGCATACTGCAGTCATGATCCGCGGGGGATTGGCTTTTCCCCCAAGGCTGTTGGGAGCCGTCACCAGAATGGCCCCTTACGCGAAGAATGCCGCTATCCCCTTCGCCCACGTTTCGCTCGGCTCGCTGGGGGACAACGTCGTTGACAGTATCTTCGGCGCGGGTATTCTTAACGGCAACATATCCCCGCTCCGAGGACTGCGTGGAATATGTGACATCCCGCAGCAGACGACGGGCGATGCTGCAAAAAGATTGAGGGGCTGGAAAGACTCGCAAGACGACGGGAACGTTTCGAAGAACACGCGCAGCGCAAGGTCGACAACAAGACGGAAGACGGAGGCGTCAAAAGTGCAACGCCTAGAAGAACGGCAGGGACACGACGGAAGACCACGGGGCGAGCGAAGAATAGCTGTTTGGATGAATTCAAGAGCATGCTCCTGGATGCTGCAAAGCGCACGGGTAAGAGTGCAGCGAATCGCGCAAAATTGAGGGCTCTTTCTAGGTTGAAATCGTCAGCCACAGGTTCGGCACCAAATGTCCTTGCTTCGGCGCCCGCGGCGCTTCACGTTATCAGCATCTCTCAGGCCTTGCGGGCCGCGTCCTCGACCGACGAGCGCGCGCACATTGGGCAGACGTTCAACATTTAGAGCAGTACATATCTTTCCGAAATGGATTTTGGCTGTTATACCCGGGGTCAGTCGTCCCGAAACGCCATCACAGGCGCCCACGCCTACTGTTCTTCAAGTGTTATCGCGCGCGATACTAGCACTGGTGGGGGAAAATACTCCGCTATCCCCGGCTTGAATTTCACAAAAAAGAATGGTTTGACGATCTTCTGCCTTCACTAAAAAAATGGGGCAGAATGTTTTGCTCTTGGGTCAGAGCAATATGGGCAGAGCTTCTTCATGAAACGGCTCCTTGCTCACCTTCGTCCGAAAAGGCTGTACGTCATTTCGAACACCTTCGCTGATCAATATATCCAAACTAACACGCTCTTGAAGCATTATTCCGTGATGCCTGAATTGATTGAGGATACGAGTATAGAACCGAGTCCTACGTCATCAACGACGACATGCGCGTCATGAATCTCAAATAAACGCATAGGAATGCCTCTATAAGTTCTTTACGATGTATAGCCATCATCTGAAATTGAACGTCTTCTTCCTCTCCCAGAGCTTCGACACCATAAGGATATGAAGGTTAACACAAACTTTTCGATCTCTTCTGGTTCACGGGTAAGTCGAACGTCAAGCGGTTTCTTAATTCACTCTTCGGCGGCACGGGCAATAAGCCGGCTCTTATCTTCATACTGTACGAGAAACTCTTGACCCGCTGAGCGCCCGATCCTCACTATGGACTGCAAATCAGCGATTCAATGAAATCTTTGGTCTTTCAATGAAATCTTTGCTTTCTCCGTCATTACAAGAAAATCTGAGCAAGAATTAGAGAATGAAGTTCAGGAGGATATCACCAGTTTTATGTGTATGTTTGAAGAAAATGGAAAATATTCGAGTCCGGATCATCGATGGTCTCCACAGCGTCTTGAGCGGGTGGCGGAAGGTTATCTGTCGGCCTTCCTCATCCCAAAGGCGCGCGGCTGTAGGTCCTCCAGTTTATCGAAGCCAACCCCGAACATTATCAAACGCTAGGACCTTTATGGAGGTCTCGGGTTATCTCCCGAGAAATCGAACAAGGCCGCTGAAGCACCAAATCACCACCGGGATTTCATCTCTGTTGCGTAAAGCATTGCAGTATATACCAACACACCCCCTTGCTACGTTGAGCTTGCAGGAGCTAAAAAAATACCCAAGCGTAAAGAGCTCTATGCCTTGTTCGAGAGTGAGCTTCTCAATGAAGAGTCTGTCCTAAGCGCGGTCAAATCCAGGTTGCTAAACTATTCTAAAAATACAGGCCAAGTGGGCGACAGCGTTGCTGATGTCCGTTTGAAAAACCAACTCTTGGCGGTCATTACAACCGCACCTTCTCTCCAGACTCGGAAAGAGGGGGAGTTCGATCGCTTGTTGCTGTTCGTCAATGGCCGCTTTCTGGCGGGCCAAACGTTTCAGGCCTTTCTCAAAAGCAACTTTTTACTCCGCGTGCGCAGCTGGAACAATTTTATATGGAAAATCCTCAAGGGTTTGAAGCCAATCTCAGGGGCCTCAGGCGGATCAGGATATGCGTCTTGCCATCGTGGCTGACTATAGCGTGCTTGTGAACAACGTAAACCAACAGTTTCTCATGAAATATCCCTTTGAGGTGGTGGCTAACGCCGTAGTCGAGGTCAGGGCAGAAGTTTGGTGATTTGGCGGCCTTGCTTGAGACCTACTCCAAAACACCCGAGAGGAAAATTATAAATTATGATCGTCATTTTATGCCTGGAGGCGTCAGAGGCAAGATGACTAGCGATGCACGCGAGGTTGATCGATCAATGCAAGACAAATTGTTGAAGTCATCAAGTTCCTCAGGAGTAACAAAGGTTAATTACTTCATATTTATTACGAAAAACCCGTAGTTATGGGCTGCCTATGCTAGGATCCAAAAAAATACAAATTATTTATGAGCGCGCGAGAAACACGAGTGATGACGAATGATGACGACGAATAGTTTTTTGGCTTCAATTTTTGGTTTCAGTTATCATTCCAGTTACTTGAATATTGAATTCACTGCCTCTGCTAAACTATCCTCCAGATAAGGAATTTATACAGGTGTATAGCGGCTAAATGTCGTTTTGTTTAAACGCCATTCATTCAACTGGCCCTGGACCAGACCTTGTGTAGATGATGAGCAAACTAAAGATGACGAATCATTTTCTCTATCCTTGTCAGTGACATCCGAAGACGCTTACCTATCGAGTATACCAGTCAAACAGTGGAGAGAGTTTTAGAAAAGCTCAGAATATGTTAATGCAGGATGGAGCTATCATTTCAGGCCCAGAAGGTAATAGTAAATCTTTTCTTGTTTTAAGCGAAACAATACGAAGAGCCGAAGACCTCACTACGTGTTCAATGAAGAAAGTAGTGGGAAAGTTCGTCCGAAAATTGACTTAGTTGCAAACATGTTGTGACAATAGCAGAAAGAGAAAACAGCAAAAAGAATATGTTGAATGGCTAGAACGTAAAAAATAACCCTACTTTTGTCAACTTTGTCTCCAGGAATGGTGATGGAAAAAGTGAAATAAGCGAGCAACCAAGCGAAGAAGAAAGGGAGGTATAAAAAGAAAGACGATGATGCAGTAATGATTGTGGATCGAATAAATCAGTGTAGTTTGCAATCACAGCAAAATCAGGTTCTTCTTCATAAGCTACAACCTATAGGAACATATTATTTTCGACAAAAACAGCAAACACAACTCAAGCATTCAAAACAGCAAGTACTAGAAAAACATTCACAACACCTACTACATCCCATCTCCATCAGCAAAATTGCAATCCACAAGAATCAAATATGCAATCCACAAGAATCCACACCATTCTTGACTTGCGACCGTTCTCTTGAGATTTGCCAAACAATGTTGCTCGCCCACGCCGGCTGGTGCCAACAATTAATCTAATGAAATATTCTTTTGTATCAGACCACTAACATGGCTGGATTGCAAGTGAAGAATACAGGCTTATTCATAGGCTGAACATAATCGGCCAAACAGAACGTGAAAATACACATCCTCTCATATCGCAATCTTCCCAGCAGATTAACTATATTCCATTGCCTAAAGATATCTACGTTTCTCCAGGTTATCCAAACCCAATTTATGGGTCGTATCTGCAGCATTAACTGCAGTATTGTACACCTCAAGTCAAAAATGTTATAAATGCAGTCAGCAACAAGCCAGGTGGTTCATAGAAACCCCTATAATTACAATGTCTGAAACATAATGAGAGGATATTATGATAACGAAGGAATGCTTAAACAACGTCGAGGAAACGTTATTATCATGTTAACACAAGCTGCATAAAAAGTGAACAATCACATTTTGGGACAGCACTTTTGCATGTGCCTATTAATATTAAATATAGATTGAAGAATGAGCATGAGATATTTCTTCGGGAATTTGGCATGGTTTTGTAGATTAAGTAATAAGAAAGCTTATTTATTATTCTGCTAAATACTGATGTTATATATGTTTACACTCGAATGCAATGACTGTAAAAATGTGAACTCAAATTTAAGCTTCAAGCAAATATTGTCGAAAAAGATGAACGTATAGCATTAAATATACAATTTCAACCGCTTCACATACTTGGGTGCATAGCCTATGCATTTCGTTTAGTCTTACAATCATTAAAAACAGAGCTGGCCGGATCTTTCACGTCGGCGTCCGCGTCCGCCATCTGCGCCCGCTTTTCATCTTCACCCTTGCGATGATGTCATGCCAACATTCGCTTAACTTTGGCTTCCGTGTCTATACACTTCGTCTGTGGGTAAATATTTTGTGATTATAATAGCATTATATGTCTAAAAATACTTAACTGGCTTAAGAGCGTTGAAAGAAAAGAACTAAAATACACTTGATTGTTGTTAGTCCAGCAGGTAAGTTGTTATTTGTCCTATAGCTTTTATGACTTTTGAGTTTTGACTATAAACACAACAAACTTTAGCGGTTTATTTGACTACCACACATAACTAAAACTTTTGTCGGCAAATTTGTGTCTTTTTGTTTGAATTGAAGCTTTCCAATTGCTTTCAAAAAGATTGGCATGTCCCAATACCTTTGCATTTCAAACTTTTAGTATTGCTATCATGTAAAAGATCTTTGTAAATAACATATGTCATTCCAGTGCACAGACACAACAAACTTTTCGACTGTAGTAAGATATGATGAGAAATGTTGTTAAGTAAAAGCCCAGCATATACGAGTAAAGCGTTGAGTACGGCCATCAAAGAAACAAGCTTGTACAAGACCAATGTATTTTAATATGATATATCGTCGCGACTAAAGACATTTTCATACAATTTTGTTACGGTCTACTTAATCTTGCAAATATTTATAGTTATAATCACTTCAAGTTACATATGTTCCTTTGAGGTGTTTGATTACAAATGTTGTCGAGAAAATGGAAAATACGAAAGTATTGTTTCGAGTGAAGAGCCATTTTAATGGACTCATCATTTTCAGTTTAGGAGCAAGGTTAAGTAATCAACAGCCACATTAAGATTTACAAGCCTTTAGGTTTCAATTATACGCCAGCTATGTAGTTAACTCTGGATATTAGTTCGTGCGAAATCCAGTACTGCATAAACCTATGGACTTTGTGTCTACGTATATTCCTGTACTGCATTACTACAGGAGATACTGAAGGCTAATCTCCAAGTAATAGCAACTAATAAATGTTTTGTAATTTACACTTCATAATGACGAGAAATAGTCCTAATTGAAAACATTGTAAAAATAGAGTTTCGTGCATAGCATGTAGGGGTAATTTCCTTGACGTAGTAATGTATGAACTTATTTCCTACCCAAGAAACTATTAGTATAAATAGAAGTAAAATTAGAGATTAAAAGGTAGAGTTAGTTATTCGATAAGAATGTTAAGTTGTCGAGATTGTTGTGAATAGGTCGTAATTCTTTCTTAATAAAAATTCCATAACTAAGAATCAGATTGCAGATCAATTTGTTGGACGAACTCAACGAAATCTGCGACAATCACTACAAGTTACATATGTTCCTTTTAGTACAGCTGTTAATGACAAAATTATTCACTTGAATGATACAAGTATGAAATTTTCTCACATTCTTACTATGCCTAGAAACACAAAATTTTGATATAGGGCCAGCCCATATTTTACATTTAAAACGAGTTCTGCGAATGTCGTGTTTGCTGACGTCGTCGGTAGTAAAAAAAATAAAGTTCAGAGAAATCTGCAATTTCCTTGTATATTCTTATACAACATCTAAAGACGATAGAAAAACTATATTACAACTTTTGCTTTTGAATATTCTGGAATATTCTACATTAAAAGTGTTTTAAAAGTGTTGACTCTGCACTTTTGTTAAGTGTTTATATTAGGAATTTTAGCCCCCTTTTTTATTAGCTAAATTGAAAGACCTTGTTTCAGGGATTTTAAATCTGCAATTATAATCGAAATTGGATTGGTGAACGCGATTTTACGAACGTTCAAATTCACGATTTTCAGCATTTTTTTTGGCGAACTTTTGATCGGTATGCTAATGACTTGTGACGTTGAAAGTTGAACACATATATCAACATGGCGTATTCTACTAGTAATCTTAATAAGAAACGCGGAGGAAAACGCTGTGTTGCTGGCGGACCTAATCAAATTAGTTGCGCCAATGATTCAAAAAACCGAAGGAATTTCGATGCATCTGTTTCCTAAGAAAGAAACAGAGCCGCAAAGACATAGAAAATGGGTAAATTTTGTGCGTAAACATAGAACGGGTTTTGAGGCTTCCTCTACCTCGTGTCTGTGTTCTGCGCATTTTAAAGATTCTTGTTTTGACCTTAATTTGAGCGTGCACGTCAAGCTCAAAAAGAAGGTTGAAGAAAGATGCTGTCCCAACCATTGACGTGGCTTTGATTCCTGAACCATTACAGGACGAAATAACCGAGCGAAAGCGAAGACAAGTAAGTTTACGCTTGTTTATGTTAATTTTTCTTTTGTCATATGTAAATTCGATGTAAGTTTTGTAGATTATTCGACATACTCTCCATAAGCCATCGCTGAAGGAAACATGTTCTCTCGATGAGGAAGTACCATCTACTGGTGATGGAGCTGATCATGTTGAAATTTGCACTGAAGAAGCAAACGATTCGCCATTTGAAGAAGAACTACATGCAGTTGGTGAAGATATTTGTGAATCCCAGTTTCTATGTAAATCGTGCCATCGTCTTAAGAAAAAACTTTCATCTTTACAAAAGACTTTAAGGTGGTATAATAAGACAAAAGAAAAGAAAAAGAAAAAGACAAGAAAAACGACAACAAAATCACCTTCTATAATATAATATTATATTGACGGAAACAGACGTGTTCAACTTTCTACGTCACAAGTATCAATATGGCGTCGTAAAAAATTCGCAAATAGTACCCGACTTTGGAGGCAAAATTAAGGAACTTATATTTATCTGTTTAAGTCCAGCGACATGTCATAGTTCTTCAAATAATCCAAATTTTCAATTAAGCTCATAAAAAAGGGGGCTAAAATTCGTAATATAAGCACTTTAAATACATTGGAAAAGCGCCTAACCAAGAACAGTAATAATAAAATAATTTTAATGCTCTCATGTTATTGACAATCCCCCCCACAATTACACAAACGAGTACAAACTAAATGTGCTTTGACGCATTTACAACGACTAGACCATGAACTTTTGCATCCGCAACGAATAAGTTCATAACAGGCATCTTTAACTTGAGGAAGATTTGTTCACTTTGGTAACCAAAATTTTCATCACGGTACCAGCAACAAACTGACGTAGTGGGAATAGACTGCTCTTTCAAGCAGCACTGCCCCAGAAAAATCCACCTTGCAACAATGCACGCTTGTTGTGCTGAAGCAACGCTTCTGGGTTGTGGAATGTTATCCAGTGTTCTGGACTTTTTGGCAAACAACTCTTGTCTAGCTTTATTGACTCTGGTGAGATTGTTTGTGCGATCGTATAAGAGGACCACATATCGCTCAATCACCTGCAAAACATTATATGAATCATAATAGAGACCTTATTTGATAGATAATACATGCCATTGGCGGTTTCTGAATTACCTGCAAGGACGAACAAACAATCCTTTCTGGAAACAAATTTAGCTCTTGCAACGCTAATGTTAGCTCTGGAAATACATCCCATACATCCCATGCAGTTTTCTTTCCTCGACCTCCAAAAAAGAAAACAGTATCACACCCCGTAAAAGCGTGAAACAACGGTAGAACGGAGGCCTTGTCAGGTCCGATAGTCGATGCAATTGTATCCGCAAAATATAACGCGAGTGCTTTCCCGTGCCATAAAGAATCCATAATTCTTCTGCTTTGATGTTTTTCACAATTTAAATAGCCAGTGTCAATACGTCAGTATCATTTGTTATTACAACAATCCTCTGGTGGCTGCAGTTACTTGCATCTAACACGTGCACCATCAATCATGTGTCAGCCTCTTCATGATTACATGGTTCCAACATTGATACTTCGGTTCTTTTAGGGAAGCACAAGACCTTTTCTTCAAATGTACTGTAAATTTCTCTTCCTTCTGGAATCTGCTGGGAAATAACTTTCTGCGCTAAGAAATTGAAAAGATCCATTTTGCTTGCATCTACGCGCAGGAAGCCCTTCCAGTAGGGATACATGCTGTCGATGAAACCTTGCGGCGTTGACCAAAGCCTCACTTCTCCCGTGCGTTTTTTTTTCAGCGAATCCTCTTTGTATACATCCCACTCTAAATCAATTCTTTTAGCTGATTGAAATTGTTTTAACACATAAGGAATGAAAGCAAACTCTGCGTACTCTTCGAACGTTTCCCAAGTTCCAGGTGAAATCATTTGAACAACAACAGCCCCGTCTAAAATAATAACATCGGGAGTTGGTGATTGAACTTTGGTAATGGGCTCGATACACTTTGTCAAGTCTGCTTTATTACCAGTACGCAAACTTCCTGCTTGTGAGAGAGATGGTGGCCATGGTTGGTTCTCATATTTAAAGAACTCATCGAGATCACCACTTCGATTTTGACTTGCTATATACAATCTTGAAAATAAAGCACAGTCTAGTTTCAGAGTTTGTATATTTACTTTATCTTTTGACGAAACTCTTTTTCTTCCCGTTTTAAACGTTGGCAGATTATTTTTTTTCAACGTTTCAGTAATGCTCTTGCTTCTCTCAACAAATCTTTCTTCAACAAATGCTTGATACTGTTTTTCTCCAAGGGTTACAACATTGTTCACCGTGTCAACAACGAACTGTTCATCACGTCATTTGTGTGGATGGCAAATAGGTCTTTGCTCTCTTCTACAAAAGGATCCCCCATCGCTTGAAAATTGGAGACGACATTTGAGAAATCTTTATAAAATTCTCTTTTAATGGATGGGGTTTGCTCATGGTGTAGCTGACTGTCTACATGTGTACTCATCTCGAATTCCCTAATTATTTGTGCGATTTCTGGACCTGCAATCATCTATCTCCTAAAAGCTGAAAGGTTTTCGGTTAGTCCCACAGCACCACCTTCTCCCTTTACCACTGCATTAACTTGCTCGTGAGCATGATTCAATGCTATAGCTGAAAACTGTTTCTTCGTTTTATGCACCCCAAACGATCCCTTGGAGAACTTGTTAAAGACGTCAGGATGTTTGAATTGAAGCTCCGACATATCACTGATATGGACAGAATGCCATCTTGCATAATTAACATTGTCCAAAGCAAACATTCAGGGGACAAGTTGCTTATTTGACTGGAAGTATAAAGAAAAATTAACTTCTCTAAATGATCGCACTAGTTGTAAACAGAGTAATTCTAGTTCCAAAACTCTGGTCCAATACAGAAACTGTGGATGATCCTTCGACATTTTTTCTTTCCAAATGTGGAATTC